CGACAAGAAGGGCAGGATAGATATGTGCGCAGTTGTAAAGCATTCTGCGATTGGAACTAGCAGTAGCTTCTATGGATGTTGAAACCAAGTTTGCACAGAATTTCCTGCAAATGACGATTTATAGTCGAGTATTTTTTGACTCGAAAAATAGTCCACAAACTATGTGGATAGAAGACTAATTGTGATGTAGTAATGCATATGAAAAGATCTGCTGATTCACGTGAGATTAGCCCTAATATATTATCAGGAGGCGAAAAACAACCACTTACCCATGACCGTACGGCGAGATAAAGTATAGACAACAGTGTACTCGATGGTCGTGAATGTTCTTCCTATTCAAGCCGCATTCATCCTTGAAATATTGCTCGAAAGTACCGTCGATATAATCCTCAATCGGTTTCCAGCTGCAATGGAGAGAGAGAAAATAATAATTCCTGTTGAATTACGGCACCCAATGCAGATTATGCAACCCATAATTCGACTACTTATGCACTTTTTCAATATCCGAATGACACTCAAACGAGATAAAACATGCACGAAGTGCATGTATACATGTCACAAAATGTTGCAACCGAGTGTTTTATCTAGCGGAACTATGATAAGAACCAGTTTAGTACATGAACCCAAATGTACCGTTTAATTCCTGATTAAACTCAATACATGCGAATAGAAGAAAGTTTCCGAAAAGATTACAAACTAGCATTTATTACAACCGGGACTGCATACATGAGATGGGAGCATTGTGCGATGGCACTATGAGTCACAAGTATTCACATGTATTCTGAACAGATAGTAAACATCACATTTCGCTACGCACCATAATGTACACCATTTCAAAAAAGGAGTGATTCTTCAACAAAAATTCAAATAATTTTTTTAGAGTACTGATTATTTATGAGAAAAATGTATTGAGCTACACGCAACAGAAAGTTTTAGATGTGCGCCATGTAATACGAGATGACTCCGAAAGCAAGTGACATTAAAAACTAATGGAAACTACATGGACATAGTTAAGAGTGGAGCTGGTTGAACAGCTTACTCTCGATGATACCAGAAGGAATCAGCGAAACGCAACGGCGGTTAGAACACACGAAAAGAGAAACAGCCATGGTTGAGAAACCACGGCAGTATGCTGTGCCTACTCATTAGTAGTGCAAAATAGCATTCCAATATCGATAATAATCGGGCATACCTTAGGGAGGCCATGGCAAGGCCGGAGGGCAGCTGGCAATTTCCTGCACGATTTAGATCACAATAGGCGAATTTACGAACGGCTGGTCGAGCCGAAAATAAACTATTCACGTATCACAACTCAATGAAAAAGAAATCACTCTTTCTAGAGGCTACGTAGCATATGACAGATTCGACGAAGATACCCTGGATGCAAAACCGGTTTCACGGTTGTTATTGCTTGGCGTACATACTTCTGCCTCCGGAATTCATTCCATCACTATTTTTTAATTCTCTTAAAAAAGTTCAAAAACTTTACTAGAACGATTCAACGATACCTTGCATCGTGTTGTTTTTGTGTTCAGACAGATGAAAACAAAGATGTAGTAGAATGATTGTTCCACGGATATCCTGTGTAAAAAAATCATTTTAATGTGCGAAGAGGTATCATACTGAAAAGGATTTCGTTTGCAAGAGAAATCTTTGTCTGATAGCTCTACAGGGTTTGGAATACCGCAAGTTTCTCTGAAGAAAAAAGTGGTGAAATATTCCCGTTATAGGTTCAAACGCTCCGTAAGAGAGCTCCCAAATGTTTGAAAAATTGGAACTAAATCACGAATATATCAAAGAAAATCCCAGAAAACCCTTTACTAAACACACTAACCCACCGGCTGTTAAAAGTTGATCAGATACACCTGTTTCGCAACANCAACATCCGCAGCGACTTTGAGGCTTGTACCGTGTATACATTGTTTACAGTACTAAAAAACAACTGATATAATCTGACCTGATCCTGAGGGATACCGAACGACTAACCATCGCATGGACGAACACGCTGGACCAATGACTACGTTCGACTCGATCTAAGCGTAAGCAGTTCGCTGAGCGATATTTCATCAGAGCCTTCAGTTGCACGGGATAGTTAACCAAATATACATAATTTCAAGATTTGACAGGTGTATGCAAGCATGTATACCCCAGGGCACCTTTTTACACGCTCACAAATGAAAAGCTGTGTTAGGATGGTCATCAGATTGGTGAGGTTACCTACTGTACTGGGATACACGCGGGTAGAGCTTGACCTTGTTGAAATTCCAATCTAGGGATCAATCAACTATTTCCACCCTAAGCACACTCTCTCGCACTGTTGTGAAACACGTAGCACCTACGGGTCAATCGATCCCTCTCCCTCCTCCCCCCGTTACCACGACCTTTACTTCTGGTCCACATTGTTGCTCTCTCACCACATAGACAACACACATGACAATACAAACATGCAAGACATAAGAAAAT